CTGGCCCTTGCTCATGATTGGGAGTGAGAGAGAGAAAGAAATTGTAAGCTCATCCAGAGTAGGGTGTTTTCTGTAGGAATCCAGATGTTCCCTCTGAAAATATTTTTGCTTTGCTTCTACCAAGTAATCCAGAGCAAATCACTTTTTTAATGTTAATTTTTTGTGTTAATTTCTTAACAGTCCCAGAAAAATTAGGTAGTATAAACTTGAACTTCAAACCTGTGTAAGAGTAGATTCATGATTACAAATTTATCACAGGAGGCTAAGGACATAGACCAGGCCCTGGCTTTATGTGTATTTGGAAATGATGGGCTCTCAGTTCCAGACCCTACTCCCAATGAGCCCAAGGTTCTCCCTCCTAACAGAATGTAGCCATTAAAACCAAGTATTTTTTTAATTTCAGAACATTACAGGGATACAAACGTGTTTGTTACATAAATTGCTTTTGTGCCATTTGAGTCAAAGTTATAAGTGTGCCCATCCCCCAGATAGTGTGCACTGTACCCATTAGGTATGAATTTACTCCTCCCCCCACCCCACCTGCTTGATTTCCAATGAATGTTATTTCCATATGTGCACGTAAGTGTTGATTGATTAGTTCCAATTTAATAGTGAATGCATGTGGTGTTTGTTTTTCGATTCTTGTGATACTTAACTTAGAAGAATGGTTTCCAGTTCCATCCAGGATAATACAAGAGGTATCAGTTCACCATTTTTTTTTTTATGGCTGAGTAGTAAAACCAAGTATCTTGACTACCAATACTGGAAAAACCAAGCCAAAAGAAAACTAAACTCAGCATCAGGTTGTTGTAAGTTCCCTCTGTTATTGTCTGGTTTTAGCGGGAGAGGTGTGGTATTACCCTTATTTTCTTGAGAAATCAACAATACATTTCTAAAAATACGTTCATCATATTTTATCCAGCATTATCTAAGTACTTTATAATGGGAGCATTTTCCAGTTATATAGTCACCCATTTTGGCATAAACAGAAGACCTGGAAAATACCTCTATAGAAATTTCCAGTTTATAAAAATGCCAACTAAAACATTCCTTATTGAACACCTCTTAAATAGATCAAATTCTACTACTGTCTTTGAACATTAGTAGTGACTCCTATTTTGAAAACTCTTTCACTTGACCCTGCTACCTCTTAAGTCCTTAATTCAGTCAACAAACATTTGGGTACCTACTGTGTACCAGGTCCTTTTCTGGCTGATGGTGACAATTTTGAAGAGGGGATTGTAGACAGACATATCAAGTGAATCACTTCTCGGCCTTTTGGCTAAGATCAAGTGTAAATATTAATACATCAAGTGGTGATGAGTGATATGGAGAAAAGCAAAGTAGAATGTCAGTGAGTGACAGTCTGATTGGGGCCATGAGGGGACTGACTGCTATTTTACACAAGGTGGTCAGTAAAGTCCTTTCAGACAAGGTCACATTTGAACAGTCAGGCTAGGAGAGAGAGCTATATAGAGGATGCTAGTCCTCCTCTTATATGGAGGACTAGCATCCAGACCAGAGGGGACCACAAATGCAGAAGACCTGAGGCAGGAACACATTTGACTTCTCCAAGGTGGCTAGTGTGCCCGAAAAGATTGAGTGAGGTGGACAGTGGTAGGAAATTAGAGAAGAGAAGCCATCTTTCCACACATACTCCCTCCTCATCCAATCAATGCCTATACCCTGAAACCCGTCCCAATGTCTCATACACTCTCAGCTCCTCCTAGTTCAGGCCTTAAGCACCCCTGTTTTGTTTATCTGAGATTACCTACTACAACACTTCCCAGATACAGGTGCTCCATAAATGTTTGATGATAACATTTTGACTTAACTTTTTCAAGAATATGTTGTCTTGGCTGTCCCTCTCAATGAGCACCTAATGGAACACATATCCCTGAATTTTGTTTCCTTTGGCATTACAACCTCTGGTTTGAAACTTGTGATGGGAAATGAAGTTATGTTCACACACAAACTTGACAGACTATACCACTTTTTTTATTTGCTTAATTGGTACACAGTTCACTGAAGATACACTTCACTTTTACACAGCCTTGTAAATAGAAAAATACATTGACACAAAAATATGGTACTTCAATATCAAATTTAAACAAATGATTTCCAAAAAGAATACTGGTTATTTATTTCAATAATTAAAGGTGGTTCTTACGTGTATACTATATCATGTATACATATTTAATTATATATTTAAGGCCAAGGGAATCTGTAGTTAATTACTCATTTGGTTCTTAAAAACTGAAACATACATTTTCTTATTTTTAACTACACAAATAGACCATAAAAAATATGCCCTGATGCATAGCTATAAAATTATCATGTACTCCACTGATGTCTCATGGCAACTTTAGAAGGCATTGCTGTGTGATTAAGACCTCGCTCTTGAAACATCTGAGTCTTTCCCTCACTAGAATGCACAATTCAAATGCCTGGGCCTCCAGGACTTCTTTGGAATTTAAAAGCAGCCTTCATTGCAAGGACAGACATACTGACCGTAGCTAAGTTTGTTATGGGAGTGGTGGAAGGACAGTGGCAAAAAACATGATAGGTGCTCAATAAAAAGCCATTTGAAAATTATATTTTCTATTAAACTGTTTTTCATAACACTTGTATTTCTCCAATGACTGTTCTGCCAAACATTTGCCACCACAAAATACATTTATTGTTATTCTTTATCTAAATTATAATAAGTGATATTTCTTTCTATATAGCCATTAAGCTCTCTGGAAATTTTAATTTACTTTATTTAAAGCACTTTAACACATAAAAATTTTCCCTTACATGAATACCTTTCAACATTATAAATAATTTCCATGAATCATATTTTAAAACCACCTTTAATTTGGTATGAGGACACTTTGGCAATGTAGCAGAATACATGGTTTTGGCAAGTCCCGGCAAGTATAGTAAATGCCCATGATCTCAGTGAAAAATACAGGCTATAGAATGCTTCATTTTTCTTATATTGAATTAGAGTACAAATGTGACCGCTTAAATACAAACATCTATCTTCCACCAAATAGCAAACAGACATTTTATATAATTAACAACAAATTCCTTTAATTCAATCAATGGAAAAGTAAAACAAGTCGCAAATGTGAACAATACAGAACCTGATGGTGAGGACAGAGATGAGTAGTTTACAAACTAATTGAAACTGCAGCCTGAGGATGCCAGATCAACATTATAAATACAAAGAAAAAGAACGTAAATATTTACTCCACAAATAACTTCAGCACAAGCATCAGCGATGTTCAGATGTGGCCAGCACACAGGCCAAGTATAAACGCACGGATCACAGTGACCTGGAGCTATAAAATCGAGTTCCCTAACCCTTCGATCAACCATTCAGAGCAATGGGAATATAGTGAGGTGCCAGAAGTCCCACTTCAGTTGCTCATACTACATTAAGCCACCCCTCTCCCCTCCCCCAATCCCTTTCCCACCAATAAAAAGTCACAGGGAGTGTATAATTGGTCAATCCAATTTATCTAGGGGTCTATGTATATGGCCATAATTTGTCCTATATTCATGTTAAAGAGAATGCTTACATAAAATTAATACTCAAAGACATTGAACTGATATGTACGTATATTCTTATTTAACATTCAAATGATTAAATGGCATTTTAGAAGGTCACCTATGGTATGAGCTTTTAAATTTGAATTCAAAACTGTGATAGTTTTACAACTGCATCTAAGATCTCGAATGTGAGACTCTGTGCCTGTCTACATTAAGGCAGGGACGCCATCACTCTGTGTAATGAATATACTCTTCTGCGGCTGCAAAATCCTGAATCCCAGAGTGATCTACTGTCATAGGCTAAGGTTTTATAAGGCACTTTTGGCTCTGTGAAATATTTCTCCTAACTTTCAGGCTGAATCCTAAAGAAATATTTACAAAGTGCAAGAAATTAATTTTAAAACTGGATGCTTTATTGATAGGTCTAACGGAGACGGTGAGAAACAGTTTGTATACATACAACGCCCATTCATCTCTCACTGTACCAGGTATCAATCATAGAGAAGATCACAGGCATGGGCCACTTGAATTACTATACCACTTACTTGACTTTTCAACAGCCACATGCCCCCTTATCCTTGACCTCATTTAACTGATCTGTAGAGGTGTGACCATTGGACCGCACCACGCCTTCAGGAATCCAGGACTTGTCCACACACCGCTCCATTCGCTTCATGATCAGGTCCAGAAGCGTCTCAATTGCTTGGCTTATATTTGTCCCATTGGCAGCACTAGTTTCAAAGTAGGGAATTCTGGAAGATAGATAAAACTTAGGTAACAACACGTGGAGGGAAAGGACAGTGACCTTTGCCCTTGATGATTCAAATTAAAGAATAAGTAGAGTACAAATACACAAAATGACAAAAACATTGTACCACCCGAGGGTTCATTAAAAAGTAAAAAAAAAACAATAAAATAAAAATAATTCACACTGCATTCCTAATAGAGAAGCAAAACTGGGAATTTTAGACAATTGATTTTCAAAAGAGCAATTTTCATTCTTTTTTGTAAGGGAGCATATTTATGTAATATATATTTTAGTAACCATTTATAGAGTTAAAACTTCAGAATTTAAAACTTTATTCATGTTATAAAAAACTGTTTAAATTTCTCTATGTGAAAAGGCTTGAAAACTTTTAGAAGAAAATAGATTACCTTTTTGACATTGTGATAAAAAAGGCTTTCTTATTTTTGTAATAGTGATTTTTAATTTTTTTTTATTTTTTTTATTTCAGCATATTACAGGGGTACAAATGTTTAGGTTCCATATATTGCCTTTGCCCCACCCGAGTCAGAGCTTCAAGCATGTTCATCCCCAGACGGTGCACAATGCACCCATTAGGTGCGAATATACCTATCCCCTCCTCCCCCCTCCCATCTGCCAGACACCCGATGAATGTTGTTACTCTATGTGCATTTAAGTGTTGATCAGTTAATACCAATTTGATGGTGAGCACATGTAGTGCTTGTTTTGCCATTCTTGTGATAAAGAAGGCTTTCTTAATATAGATACAGAAACTCAAACCACAGAGAAAAAGTTTGATAATCTTGATAATATTAAAATTTAAAACTTTGGTGCCACAGCATACATCATAAGCAAAGTCAAAAGATGAGCCACAGTGGCAGATGCCTGTAGTCCCAGCTCCTTAGGAGGCTGAGGCAGGAGGATCACTTGAGCCCAGGAGTTTGAGGTTGCTGTGAGCTAGGCTGATGCCACGGCACTCTAGCCTGGGCAACACAGTGAGACTCTGTCTCAAAAAAAAAAAAAAAAAAATGAGCCACAGACCAAAACAGATGGTATATCATATAACTGAAAAAGGGGTTAGCAATGAAAAAAATACAAATGATTGCTCAAATTAATTAAACAAAGTAATACAAAAATCAAATACAAAAATACAAAGGATATGCACAGGAAATTCTCAGAAATGACATTTATGAAAAAATGTTCAACCTCACCAAAAATAAGGGAAATGCAAACTAGAATAATGGCACATAATTCAAACCCACATTGACAAAAATATAAAAATCTCCCAATACCAAGTATTTCCAAGGAGTGGGAAAAGAGGAATTTGCATTTACTGCTGGTGCAAGTATAAACTGTTATAACTACTTTTGGAAATAATGTGGTAATAACTGGTAAAGTTGAAAATGTGCATGCATTATGCCTTAATGGCACCACTTCCAGGTATACAGTCCAAAATAGAGCCAAGGCATGTTGATGTGCAGTGAGTTACAGGCATACCTGAGATGACATTGATCCCTCAGCCCTTGGGGCAACTGAAAAGAGCCTACAGCAGCCAGAGTCCCTGAACTCATCTCCTCCAACCTTGAGCAGCCTTATCCATTTATCCCAGTGAGCTGTACAAATAATTTTGTAAGGCTTTTTTGGTTGTTGTTTTCTTGTGTGTGTTTTGTTTTTGTTTTTTGAGATGGGGTCTCACTATATTGCCCAGGCTGGTCTCAAACTCCTGGGCTCAAGCAATCCTCCTGCCTCAGCCTCCCAAGTAGCTGGGATTACAGGTGTGTGCCACCACACCCAGTGTACAAATATTATCATTTTCTATGCCTGCTTTTAGAGGTCTTTTCAGAACTGTTCCACTTCTGATGTCACTAAGAAGCACACTTAGGGGATACATGTGCAGGGACATAAGGCTATTTCTCCATTATGATTCTTCATGATGCTGTCTTATTATCTGCACACTTCCTCTAGGAGCTGACAGGCCTTGCAGCTGAACCTCTGCAACTCTCCCTTGTTTTAACGTAGCTATTATTAATAGAAACTGGTTGAGGAATTATCATCTCATTTGAGCATTTATCCACCCATCTGTGAGTTCTCCAAGACACACACAGTTGCTCCACTGATTCTACCATGCCCATGTTCTATCACCCCTTCATTGATGACTCTAAAATATCTTAATCAGAGAAGGGATTCTTGAGAAAATTACCTGGTCTTAGCAGTTTTTAAGCCTCCTGTCTGTCTCTTTAGTTACTGTCAATCTTTTTTCCTCCATCTTCATCTCTCACCTTGCCCATAAAACGAAGATAATATATTTTTGTCACCCCAGTCACATATGATATTTGATTAAAACTGCAGAGAGGACATTTTTTGTAATTGGATTCAATAAACATTTATTTATCAAGTATCTATGATATTATTGAGCTAAATCCTGGGGACAGTTTGTGATTCTGCCATTGCTATAGGAATGGAATTTTAGATTGAGAATTCTCAAAATACTTAAATTTCCTTCATCATGATCTTTCTCAATTACACTCATGAAAAAAAAATCAGTTAATGTCTACAGAACATTTCTTATACTTAAGGAGAGAGCTTGACCATTCTATCACCATTCACAAATATATTATTACATGGAAAAGCAACTGAAAAGTTCACCTCCGCAAGAATAAATTGGAAATACAAAAAAAAAAAGTTAAGCAGCAAACTTGCTTTAATTACTAAGTCACAATAATGTATGCCTCATTTTTTAAATTCTCTCAAAATCAATTATAAATCTTTCCAACTGGAGACTTCAAACTCATTCAATTCCTCAACTCGATCTCCAATTAGCTATTTCTACTTTCCATAGTTACTTCCCCCTCAGCTCCTGAAAATTACTTCACAGATATTTTTGAGGCATAAATAAGAAAACACAGCTGAAAGCACTTTGAAAACTGTAAAAGTTATGCATGGAAGTTATGGACAGTATGGAACAATGGTTTAGAGCCATAACCTTTGGAGTTAGGCTGCCTGGATTCAAATCCTAGCACTACATCTTATCAACTGTATAACTGGCAAACTATTAACCTCACTGCCTCGGTTGCTTCATCTACAAATGCCAAGGAGTATCAGTTTCTTCTTATAAGGGCTAAATGAGTTGATATTTAAAGCACGCAGATCAGAACCTGACACATAGTAAACATTTGATAAGTGTTTCTTATTTCCAACACAGAAATGGGTTAGGTCACAAAAGTTTCATTGTAATTTTGGTTTTTTAAAACTCAGAACATATCATCCCAAAGAATCAATGTCACTAGCAACCTTGTAAACATTAAATTCCCAAACTAGCCCACAAAGTTTGGTTTAATCAACAATGTAGCTGGTCTGTAAAACCTACAGTTACTGCCCTAATTGTGGTACCTGGGACCATGCTTCCCTACATCATGGGTGGCTCACTCAACCTGTCCTAGCCAAAGTGCTTCATGCTCCAAAGCATCTGCCTCCTTCAGTCCTCATCAAACCCTTCACTCCTCAAGTGATCTTTACTGAACACTGGAGGAAAAAAATAGATCTTACTTTACTGATTAATGCCAAGGTATAAGTGACTAATGCTTCTAGTTCAATGTTTATTAGCTTAAGTAAATATCTAATTGGTAGAATTTCAATGTACAGGAGTTAAGTTATAAATTTTTAAGTCACTCATATTAAAACATATGCAATATTAACAAGATAGAGTTTAGAATTATAACTCCAAAGTCAAGTAATATACTTATTTTAACTAAAAGCATATTTTCTTGCCATTCGTGAACCTCCAGGTCATGCAACCAGGAGCCAGGTAAACAATTTTAAAATCTTTAATCATTCAGAGTTTTCTGAGCAAGTGGGGCAATAAAGTTTTCATTTCTACAAGAATAAACGAATGCTAGAGATCACTACACTCAATTCTTTGAGTTGCCAGAGGAAAAGAAAACTATATGAGATCCACAGAGAAGACTCTCAATTAAAACTTTCCTTCTTAAGGAAATGATATCCCAGAGACAGAAATGTGCATTGTTCTTACATTTAAAAGTGGGACTGTGCAGTTTGCCCTAAGGGCATTGGAAGTCTACTAGATGGAATTAGAAATATTTTTATGTCTATATCTTCTTAATGCTCACTTTTAAGAGTTTAAGCTACTTTATCTGAATACCTTTATTAAACATGTTATATGTTTTTAAAGCAATATCTCAAAGTCTAGACTGGGGAGGGAAGTGAGGATAAAGGAAGAAATAAAGTTAAAGATTCTGGGTTCTAGAGCTAACTACCCAAATCCCCATTTCCAACTCTGAGACCACTGCCTCTATATCTGTAAAGGGAAGTAACAGAGGTCCATGGGGTCATGGTACAGAGGAAATGGGAAAATAGATGTAAAGTGCTTAGCACAAGCCTAGAACCCAGCAATAAATGTTAATCTAATTTGCTTTATTTTCTTCTATCAAAAATATTCTGCTTTTCCCAAAACTTACTAGGAAAAAATTTAATAAGCGTCCCTTAAGTCTAAGATGATGAACTGTCCCCAGTTTAACCATAGAAGGATATTGCTCCTTCTTCCCACATGGTGGCGCTAATGTAACGTTACCAAGGAGCAATATTGCCACAGGCATGAAAAAATTGTGCTGCTAATCGGTCTGTAAATGGCTACTTGGAATATATGTAGACTAACTTTAAAGTGCTTTTCAAAAATAGATTAATCTTAAACTTTGAAATTAAAAAAATTAAATGAACAGGTTCAAATAAATGAGAGGGACATAATTGCTTGCAGCTTTTCACCGCAATCTCACTCATGCCCTAGGTCATGATCCACATCCAGCTGATTTCTTTTCTATCATTTATTCCCATAAAACCAAAGGATCCTAAATACCGGTTAGAAGTTTCCAGGAACGATAGAAAATATGTTTGATGATTCTGTCAAATGGTTCTAGATCTTTGGCTCACATGCGGTTCCAGAAATTACGGAGAAATTTCTCACTAAAGTGAGAAGTGAGTCTTGCTACTTTTTCATAGTCTGTTGGATGCTAAATGAACAACATTTACAGGAAATGCTGACTATTCGAACCAGGGAGATTACAGCAAATGAAACGTAGATCCTTTACTGAGTTAAAAGGCGTTCTGCAAATCAGGCTTATATGTTTGACTGTGGTTTATTTGTGTGGTTTTAAAACATGCCCAGTGATACATCCCTAATTTATTTCTCAGATCAAGAAAGGGTGTCAACAAATTTGCAAAACTAAAACTTTTAGAGATCAAGATAGTCGTACATTTCATCGGACTAGGTAAGACACTGAGCATTCTGCTGAACTAAGCCACTTGAAACCCCTGGAATTATCTGTACTGATATTGTTAATGCTGTGAGTAGATGTTTTAATTCCTCTTTCATTCCAGAAACTCTTGAGTATCTTCCTCACCAACGGCCAGCAGCCTACAGCGGGGAAAACGTCATATTAAATTTATTGCCCATTTCTTTGCACAGCACATGAAATACATATATTCAGTTGTATGCTTTGATCATTGTCACAATTTTCTGTATTTCCCTCAACTCCAAATCAAAAACAAAGTCTTATTATGACCACCAACAACCCTCTGTGAATAAAGCAGTATGGGCAGGCAATTTGATGCAACCATTTTTACTCACAGAGTGAAGTCACCATCTGCTCATTTATGGTCGGGTATTCCCGTAGTACCAATCCCAGAGTCCCTTCCCAATCTGTATCATAGCTGATATAATTAATGGTGCAAGGAAAAAAAAAATCCTCCTCTCTTTAGCACGGATTTTCCAATGATAAGTCATTGTGCACACTTCCCTCACCCACGCAGGGCACCAAGGAGACAATTGTTCCATGTTCTGTGCATGAATGACTTTGTCCAAGGAAAATATTTGCTAGCATGCCCACCTGCCAAGGAAAATGTCTGATAGCATGCATACCTGATAGTAACTAAGCGTCTACACTGGTTTTCTCAAAGTGCTGTCCTGAACCAACAGCAGCAGCATTTAGGAACTAGTTAGAAACATAAATCTGTGGGCTCCAGCCCAGGCCTACTGAACCAGAAATTGTGAGACCCAGTTCTGATGCACACTGAAGCCTGAGATCTAACAGTGTCATCTAAAAGATGAATGTTGCCATTGTTTCATTCTGCTTTCTCTTCTAATATATTTGTCACTGACTGTGTAGATATTTTTGAAAGTGTTTCAGCAACAGTGTGAACTTTAATTGTTTGGCTGGCAGAAATACAAGTTTGAACAAGTTTCTGTTTTGCTCTCTTTTCTGACTTCATTGGCAATATTACTAAATATATTTAACAACATACTGGAAAGCATTATTTTGCACTTGGGAAAATTCAATTGGTTTAACAGAGAGATCACTTGTTTTGTTGGGAGGTGACCTAAGAGCTTTGTATTATAACTTGAACAAGTTTGACAGCAGAAAACAAAAGCAAAAAACAGCTAGAAAATTAGCAGTAAATAGACTCTTAGGCTGGTAAAAAAAAACAAAAAAAAATTCTGATATTCGTGCAGACAATTCACCTTTTCCACTTTTAGCTCCTGTGTGAACTCCTTATTCTCAGATTTACTTGTCCTGGCACGCACAAATTTATGTTCCATGTTTGCATGGAACGTTCTTTATTAGGCTTGCAAAGTTTTTCTGACACAGTCTTTCATTCTCTGAATGTACATGTATACCAGAAAGCCACCTGTGAGCCAATGATCCATTTTTATGAGTTGAGAATAGAAGACAGCACAATAGTTACAAAAAATATAAATTTGACAGACAACACACCAATGATATGAAGATCTACCATAAATTGTACCCTTTTGGATTAAATGACCACCAGAGTCGTTGACTGGTTGCATCTGCAACCAATAAAAATGTTATAATTAAGAATGAAATAAGATTTCTGTGAAAATAATCATTAAACGTTAAGCCAAATGTGTGAAATGCGTGTGAAGCAAACTGATGCATCATATTTTCCTCTGAAAGTGCCCAACAGCCTATAGAACAACGCTATATGCTTCCTACATCCTGAAGGAATTATTTCTATCCCTTTTCCTTCTTCTTCAAGAGTTTCAATTATGCTTTTCTGCTAATCCCTCTTCTCATTTTAACTCAACTCGGAAACTATAGATTGAGCCCCTCTCTATGAACTACTCCCCGGCCACCCTGATCTGGGCACAGCTGAAAGTCCCCACATTCCTCGGATACCCAACATGGCAGAAGGCCATATGTCCAGCCCTGTGACACCAGGCAGGCTGAGGAATCCTGAGAACCAGAACACAGGAAACAACAAAGGGTTAAAGCAGCCCAGAGGGGGAAGAAGTCAATGTTGACTCTCCCGGAATGCTTGAGAACATACTTGTTTGATCTAATTCCCCTGTCTTTTTTTTTTTTTCCATTTACTAACACAGTTCTCAAAAGCATGGTCTAGATACACAGTTTCCATTGCTTCATAGCTGACTTCCTCCTTACATCCTTGCAACACAGCACCCAGCTTCAACACTTGAGTATTCTCTGTGGTATTTGACCTCCCTGTGTTTCTTTTCCACTACGTTACATGAGTGCCTCTCCAGGGAGGAGGGGGCTTATCAGAACCACCTGTGAGGCTTCGCCAGCCGCCACCTCGGAATCATCCAAGTCAGTGGTTCTCAACCACAATACATGCAAATCATGTTGAGAGTTTTTAAAAGGTACCAAATGCCCAGGCTTTGTAACATATCAACTTGCCCAGGCTGAACAGCATTCCCCAGAATTCCCTTTCTGGTTAGGGTGGACCACAAAAGAGATTTGGAGATCTAGAAGTGAAGCAGCAGCCATGTTATACTCTCATATGTTGTTGCTTCTCTGCTGGCTCATCCCATCGGCATACACCAACAACCAGACCTGCACCTGGGCCAGGAATATGTGGTTAGCCCTGTGACAAAGGGCCCTGGCTTCTGCAGGACATCCACAGCGTCCAGGTCAGAGGCAACGAGAAATGACATGGGTTTCAGTCTGTCATTATGGGTCCCAGCTGGTTCTCACTTTTTTCATCCATGCCCCAACTATATCCACCTTCCCTTGCTGGCTGCCTGTCCTGTGGACTTCAAGCTTCGGCACCAGACACAAAGACGACACCTTACGGAGACTGCTTAACAGCTCCCACTATCGCATGTGGTCAAATCCCCGTAACAGATCCCTTCATATATATGCAGGGATTTCTTCCATTGAGCCCTGCCTGATAAACTGAACTCCTCCAGGTCAATAATGTCAGATGCACAAAGGTGAGGCCCAGACACGAGCATTTGTTAAAAGGTCTCCAGATATTTCTGATGTGGTTAAACACTGTCTACCCTAGGGTAAAACCCTCCACATCCAATTGTAAATCCTTGCCAGAGTAAGCCTATAGCTGCTGAGAATCCCTCGGGTGAGCTAGAATTGGGATTCTTCCCCACCCAATGCATTTTTTTCCTGATTTATTTTTCCTTTTCTTTTTCCACAAATCCAGCCTCTACCCACCTCACAGATCACTGCAATCTTCCTGTCTCTACTCTTTCCTCCCTCGATTTTACAGCCCCCAGACTGATCTGGAAAAGCACACAAAGCATCCCTCCCTGCTCAAAGGCTTTCAGCAACTCCCTGAAAGAGAGGGATCAAATCTAATCTCCTTACCTGGTATTCAAAGCTTTCCAGAGTCTGGCTTCTTCCCACCTGGCCAACCTGTCCTTCCACTCCCTTCCCAGTGTAAACCCTATCAGCTTTCTGAAGCTCCATTAACCCAAGGAAGAACAAAGCAGTGATCACACAGGGAAAAGAGGCAGGCCAGAATCCCTGGCCTCCCTGGATTCTGCCTAAGCACTAAAGCCGCTGGCTGGGTACCAGCCCAACCTATTGCACCACACCACTCCACCTCGCCTCCCTTCTCAACCCCGATCGCCACCTCCCATTCTCAATACCAGGGCTCGAAATCACACGTGGATCCTCAATGTACAAAAAGTAGAAGGAAAGTACAAATTCCTTTGTAGAAGTGATCTTGACACTTTAACACTTTCATAAGCAACAACTGACCACTTCTTTTATGTCCAATTCATGTCCAATTCTACTACGATCCATCCCAGAATTTGAGGAGAAAGACAGTATTTTGCTGACCTTCCGCCAGAAAAACATAGCCTAAATCAAAAGGGATCTTACACTCCTCTCCCAGCACAGACATTTCGAAACCAGAACCCAGTCTGCAATACCCAATAAGGCTTTATTATTTATTATATTTATTGCGTATGCTAGAACTCTCTACAATAGTATATGAACTGCCTTTGAAATTTCCTTATCCCAGGAGTCTCCTGTTTGTATATCGGAAAGAAGGCCTTACACAGTGCGTTTGCACTCAAAGCTGTCCTTCTGAAAATGCCAAGAGATTGAGAAAACAGGACCAAAGTACTGAAGGAAGCCCTTACCGCATGGTTTTTCTATAGCTCCCACTATCATATAATATTAATCTTGAAAAAGAGGTACCTGACACCTCCCAAGGCCTATAGCTGAGTTTGCTTTAATTTTTCACTTTTATCTTTGCATTACCCACTCATGTGCTAATGTTTATATTGAAAAATACTTTCTCTAGATTTCTCCACAAAAATACTCACCCATATTTCTCTGCAAGTCCTCTGGCTTCCTCCTCTTTTACTATCCTCTGGTCTTCCAGATCACTCTTATTTCCACATAACACTATATCTGGGTTTTCACAATATGCATGCATTTGTAGCTGACCTATTAATACAAGAAAATTTATTATAGGTAAATAATAATGTAAGCATATGGTCAAAGGAGAATATATGCAAAAGTTCTTTGAAAGCTGCAAATGTATATATGGGTATAAGAAACTGGTATGTTTTCAAAGCATCAATAATCTAATCTGTAAAGCTGAATGGATGGGGCAGAAATATAAAACCACTCCTGTTCTTAAGCACATTCCCCAGTTAATTTATATCAGATAGTTATGAGAGACTGTGCAAACCCTCAAGATGTGAGTGCCCACATGTGTGCACACACACGAAACACCTGACTTTTTTACGGAGGTCATTTGAAAAGAAAGTTGGAAGATTTCCTAGTGCTTATTGCTAAACTTAAAGCTCTGATTTTCACATATTTTTTCTCCACAGCAATGACATTTTGAAAAGAATTATGTTCCTATAAACTAACCTATTTCCATCTGAAATGTTTTTTACATTTCTTTCTTATCCTAGGGCAAAATCGATTCATTTAAAACAAACAAGATGCAGGATTCAATGAGGAGAAAAGACCCAGAATAAATAGTAAATAATTCTGTCACCGGAATCAAGAGGAAGCAGGGGACTATAATTCTTTCTCAATAGCTTTATTTCATCTGAAAACCTGTAAATAGGCATAATTATAAAAAGCAATTGACTCAAACAAAGGAGCTTCACGCAAAGCTAAATAATCTCCCAAAGAAGGAAAAATAAAACCTTACTTCTTACCACCCCCCAGGGTGAAATTAAAGCATCCCAAACTTTCACAATAAGACATACCTCGAAGTGTATGGCCTAATTTATTTTTTTTTATCACGGTTAACCAGAAAAGTGTTGACATTTTAGTTCCTCATTATGAAGTCATGTTATTATCTTCTCAAGAGAAAGTCAAGTCAGCCAGCATTTACTGAGCATTAACACAGGCTGATACTTTGGGTGGAATTTCAGGACAGCTCTCTGCCCTCAAGAGGTAACTATGGTAACAAGACCTACTGTGCACCATTTCTAATAACAGCTGTGCCCTTTCTTTCCTCCTGGTTGTTACACAGGCTGTTCCGACATCCTTGAATGCTCAGCCACAACCTTCCTTTGAGACTTGCTTCATGGTTACCTCTACCGTGAAATCCTTCTAGTCTGCAGAGTGGCTCTGTGCTCTGTGAACACTGTACATGTCCAGCATCATGGCTGTCAGCACAGACTCGGGACCCAGTGCACCTGGGGTTGAATCCCGGCTCTGCCATTTACTAGCTGTGGGACCCTGAGGAAGGTATTCATCTGGCTCAATTTCCCCATCTGTAAATGGTGACAATGATACTACCTACTTCATAAGGTCAAGGTGAAGATTAAATGAGTAAATTCAGTGATTCTCCTGGCAAGGTCTACAGACCAGCACGCTTAGCATCATCTGAGAATTTGTTAGAAAGGCAAATTCTCAGGTCCCACCCCGGATCTACTGACTCAGGAATGCTGGGGCTAGAAATCTGTGTTTGAACAAGCCCTCCTGTGATTCAGACGCACACTCACATTCAAAAACCACTAAGTTAATACATTAAAACATTTATAAGATCTGTGTAAGTATTGCCAGTAATAATGGTTAACAATGTTTTTTTGGGGGGGTGGAGTCTGGGAGGTATGATTATTGGTGATTTTTTCCTAATTTTTCTACAAAAATTATGCTTAAACAAAAAGTAAATGAATCAGTTATTTTAGAAAACTCACTAAGGAAAAAGGCACATACATGAACAACTATAGCGTGAGGCAGGATGTGATAAGGACCATATAAGCAGTAAAAACTATTATCTGGGGTAAGAGGAGGGGGAAAAATCCAACCCAACTAACATTGTCACAGAAAATTTCATGGAGGCCACTTTTGCCAGGTTATAAAGAATGATCAGAACTCTAATTAGTTTTAAAAATGGGGGTGAATATAGAGAGGGCTTTTCAGACAGAGGGAATAATAGGAATGAAAATAGGTGAAACTATGTTACATATACACTGTTGGGCTCTTGTACCACTTGCGTGAGGCTGCGGAAGTTTAGAAATGTACGCTGCTTTAAAGTTTCCTCACAAAACATGCCGGCACTGGACGAGGGATGACTGTGAGCATGACGTGCTCACTCCTCTGAACTCCAGGAAGACAGAGCACTGACTACGCCATTATCCAATTCCTTTCAGATTCCAATCTAGGTCCAGAGGGCTCAGCTCACTGCTCAGTCTCTGAAACCAAGCGGGCCTCGCCTTTAGGCTCTGATCGCCCTTCCAAGAGGACAGGAAGAGATTCGTAGTTGAGAAAGAAGGGCTTGCAAGGAGCAAAGGGAGGGGACAGACCTGCTGTGTCCTCTCCCTGGCCACTCAGGGCCCAGGAGTCAGCTGCTTCTGTAATGCAACACTGTCTCTGTCCTAGCGTGCACCATTTTTTACAAATGCATACATAGATATGATATTTATTTATTTATTTAAAATATAGATTTTTTTTAAAGCTATTATTTTGATGGAAAAAAAGAATGATCCCTGTAATACTCAAGATGCTGACAGGCAGAGGAAAAATAAAATGTATAAACAATTGACAACTTTTTATTCCTAATTCAGATTTTATATTATCACCTCTGACATTGAATACTATACCATCTTGTTTAAATGGGGGAGGAAGGGGAATATTTTCCACTGGAGACATGAAATCTTCAACATATATAAGGTTTTTGTTTTTTTTTTTACCTAACTGTGCAATAAAGATTTTTTACTCTGTAAGGAAAAATAAATACATACATACGTACACATTTTTACACGATTTTGTTCTTTAGCTATAAAGCCCAGACATTTATCTAACTAATGTCTCAGAGTTTCAGTTTCTAGCTACGAAAAACAGGTTGACTATCTTTCAACACTAAGCTTCTGAGCGCAGTCTCTAAGAATCCTTCTAAAGTATGTGATTTAAGAGAGCCCCAGAACTTGTCCTGAAGGCCCCAAGGAGAGGATGATGAGCACAGGCTCAAGATAAGGGATTAGAAATAGCCACTGTCGTTCAGCTGCAAGGGAAGCGATGAGGTATACAACTCGGCCAGGCATCTAGCAAAGTGAAGCCCAGGAAGCATAACTACATTTGGGGAACTCATATTTAAAGTATTTAATAGCTCTTCAACTCTTAGTGGCCAATTTACTTGAGAAAATGCACAAAACGTCACTGAACTGAAAGCCAAAATCTCCATGTCCTTGGATAAGTCTGTTACTCTAAGGCGCAGTGTCCTCAGCCTGAAATAAGGACCCAACGCCAACCCAGATCTCCTCACAGGGTGGTTGTGAGGATCAGACACAAAGTATGTGAAAACGCTTTGAAAACCTCAAGGCGCTATGTAAATTATTTTAAAACTCATCTTAAAATAAAGCTATTATCAAAACTACAGCCAATTACCCTTTCCTAATCCCAAAACACTAAGTAATTTTTAAGTAGCAGATATTTTTAAATGTTTTAAAGATTTGGATGTTAAGAATTTAATATCACAGCCTTCTCTAATAGATTCTCTAGGGTTACACCAATACACCTGAAGAAGAAAAATACACATTTGAAAGCTGTTATTTGCTCAAGTACAGGATTATAAATGGCTACTAGCCAATCAATTCAGAGGTTAGAATCTCTCCAAAGAGCCAAAATGAAGCTTGATGAATGTTGCACTGGGACCACTTTTGCTAATGTGTTGTAGAATTTTCCAAGGCAGGGTCCTCTTGGCAGATGCTCTGACCCTAAAAGCAGAGATGGAACCTTATAGGGCCAAGGGTACGATCCATTAAGCCTTCAAAAGATATCTGCCTCTATGTAATAGATATTTAACACCTAGGGATGATGCAAGAATTGATAACATATAATAGGCAAGCAGATACTTAGAGATTTAGCTTCTCTAGGCTTCTATTTCCTCATCTATAAAATACTGATAAAAGTCCCCTTAGAACAGACTAATTGGGAGATTACATTTACAATGCTGCCTTGTACCTGGAACACAGGAAGTACTCAACAAATCAAAATAAATGTTACTAGGAAAAGCAGAGTGTTTCAATTAATTATCTTTGCCCTTAAACTAAAAACGTTGCTCCTTTAAACAGCACTTGCACTAACTAGGAGCTCCTCTAAAACAATTTACAGCAGAAGCAGGGCATAAGAGAGCATTCTATTCCAGAGAGTGGGGAGCAGGACACAGGGAAACAGTAACACTTACTTATCCAGTTTCTGACATTGAGGAAACTTTGTTCATTTGTCAGATCAAAAAGTAAAAGAAAACCCATAGCATCTCTGAAGAACGCTGTTGTCAAGCTACGAAACCTAGGAACACAAAAGCAGATTGGTCAGCTAAGCCATAACCGCACTCCTGAAATATAAAGCTACAAGCAATGCCCTCAGCCTCTTAGAAAAGTTTATCAATAACAAATTACACAATGATATTCCAAAAGTGTGTAGGACAGTTATTAATCATTTATATCAGCTTAAGTGTTAACGGACCATGTGATTGGAAAACCCAGCCTGCTGGACAGGGTTGAGGAGAACTAGCTCATGACCTCTTAGTCTCAGCCAAGAATTTATTGTACAATTATGAGTTAATTAGGCCAAAAGCCATGGTGCTTGTTGTGTGTGTATTCCTTCTGTGAAAGCTCGTCTTGACACTGCAATGTGCTCCATGACCTTTTAATGTCAGTCTCTACAGGAATCTCTTATCTCCGATAACCATTTCTTTGGCTTTTGGGTGGGAATAGTATACTGATTCAGACCCTATCCTTTCTTGGTTCTCTCTCTTCCAAGGCTTTATCCTGCTGTCTCCTCTCTCTCCCTGTACGAGTCACTTTCCTCTCACTTTACCTATATGCAAAGCCTATAAATGACAATCAAGCTCCAGGGAAGAAAATACTGGTATAAATTTGTCATCTGATTAGCAATATTAGGTTTGTCTCAAAAAAAGTCTTACCTTTCAGAGCTACATACCAACATGATTACGAATGAAATAATATGATGTCTAGAATTTGCTTACAAATAATATGGAGGGGGTGAGAAGTGGTAAGACATACACGAAATATGATTGGCCACAACTTGATAACTATTGAAACTGAGTAATGGATACATGGGTTCATTATACTATCTTCTCTGCTTCTGAAGATGTTTGAAGTTTTCCATAATAAAAAATTAAAAAAAAATAAACAAAATCCTTCCAGGTGGCTGTGAGAAAAAACAAAAGCTAGAGCTAACTAAAAGCAACTTTATATCAAGATTTCATGTGGCTTATTTTGGTCAAGTAACCTCTGACCACATGGATTAATTCCAACCAGATTTTCCACTAGGTTTCAACAATCAGGTAAGACTAGCGCATGCAACTTTGCAGCTTTCTTGTGGTTGAGTAAACAGCAAAAGTAAGTGGACAAAAGTATGTAAGCCTAAAAAAGAAAAAAAAGAAAAGAAAAAGTGAGAAGGTCCATTTTGAAAAGGATTCATTTTTTCCTTTGACCTTGTATGAAATAAAGCCACCGTTGTCATCTCTGAGTGATAAATTCCCTGCTAATTTAGCAACAGATCTAATGGAGGTGCAAATCAACAATCAGCTGGCTTTTTTCTGCTCAGCTCCCTGTGTGCAGACTGTAGTTATTTTTGTGTTTCTTTCAGTAAGGAGCAGCTAACTGAAGATCGCATACCTCTCCTGACCCGCTGTGTCCCACAACTGCAGGTGGATTCTCTGGCCTCTGCCAATGGCTCCATCTGGCCCATTGGCTCTGTACACCTAAAACAGCAAAGTGAAAGAGAAAATAAGAGAATTGTTGACACTAGTTAACTCTAACCACCTTTCTATTTGATACACATCTGCAAAGCATATAAACCTCCAAAAAGAATTTCATCTGAAATACAATCATGTTTGTATTTTCTGTCAAATATTTTTATTTTAATATAATAATTTGTATTAAAATATATACACACATATTTTATAATTACATTATAAATGTAAATAATGCAGTAATTTACATAAAAAGTAATAACAATTTGCCTTTCCTCAAGGTCCCCTTGAGTAACTAGTTTCAGGAAATATTACCTTTCTATGGCTTTTCCCCATCCCGTGTTTAAAAAGTGTTCTTAAAATAATTTTATAGAAAGTACTTCTGGAACAATAGAGAAAGGACCTCCAAAAATTTCTTTCTTCATAAAAGCAACAAAAACACTGGTAAAAATTGTCAAAATCAGCTTTTTCAGAACTCTGGAAATTAAAGGTTTACAACATTCCAATGAGCATTTATTCAAGAAAAATGACCGAGTATCAGTAAAAACAGCAGGTTTTCTGGCGTTTTTAACTTGCCCTATTCCCATCCACCTTGCTCTAGCTCTGCAGTAGCCTTAAAAATCAAGAAATGCACAACTATGGTAGCGATGAAAACCATCAGTCTAGCAGCCACCGTGGACAGTGGAGGCAGAATAAGTTTGGAGCTCCCTAAAACTCCTGTCTTCAGAGAACTGTCAGGAAGGTCCCTGAAAAGCTCAGACTGTAGGCTTTTTCTTTATTTGACCTGACTCAGAGCTTTCTCTATGAAAACAGCCCTATCCCTAGGGCATTTGTTGAAACTATCAGCAGCAACTATTTAACACCATAGCTACCAGAGATAGCCAATACTATTTAATACTTAGGGCTATCAAAAGTCTAACCTGGCAAGGGCAGTGGCTCATGCCTGTAATCCCAGAACTTTGGGAGGCTGAGGCAGGAGGACTGCTTGAGGCCAGGAGTTCAAGACCAGCCTGAGCAACACAGCAAGACCCTGTCTCTACAAAAAATGAAAAATTAACTGGGCATGGTGGTATACATCTGTAGTCCCAGCTACTCAGGAGGCTGAGGCAGGCAGATCGCTTGAGCCCAGGAGTTTGAGGTTGCAGTGAGCTATGATGACACCACTGTTCTCTAGCCCAGGCAACAGAGTGAGACCCTGTATCAAAAAAAAAGAATAAAAAAGAAAAAGTCTAACCAGCTGCGTGTAGTGGCACGTTTATAATCCCAGCACTTTGGGAGGCCGAGGAAGAAGGATCACTTGAGGCCAGGAGTTTGAGACCAGCCTAGACAACATAGCGAGACTTTGTCTCTACAAAAAATTTTAAAAATTAGCTGAGCATGGTGGTGCATGCCAATAGTCCTAGCTTCTCAGGAGGCTGAGGCAAGAGGATCACTTGAGCCCAGGAGTTCAAGGTTGCAGTGAGTTGTGATCATGCCACCTAAGCATTCTAGCTTAGGTGATAGAGCAAGACCCTGCCTCAAAAAAACAAACAAAAACAAAAAAACAAAAAACAAAAAAAAACCTAACCAAAAAAATCTAAGAGAATTACTGGTTCAAGGAATTTAAAAAATTCTGTCCACTCCTTAGCTGTCCACTCCTTAGTTCACTAAGTTGACTGAGTACAGATTTTAGCTGCACACAACAAAGAATACAGACTTTACAGAATTATCCCAGGAATATCACCAAACAAACAGCAACAACAAAAATAAATAAATAAGCAGCAAAAATAAGAAACCCAGTCTGGGGGTAAGAATCTAATTTCTGGAGTTGCCATATTGTATTATTTTAAATATCCAATTTTCAACAAAACTTATAAGACACACAAAGAAACAGGAAAGTATGGCTCATACATAGGAAAAAAGCAAGCAATGGAAATTGTTTCTGAGAAAGCCTAGATGTTGAACTTACTAGATAAAGACTTTAAATTAGCTATTATAAATATGGTCAAAGAACTAAAGGAAACCATGTCTAAAGAATTAAAGGAAAGTATGTGAACAATGGTTTACTAAATACAGAATAAAGATATTAAAAGAAGTAAATAGAAATTCTGGAGTTGAAAAGTACAATAGTTGAAATGCAAAATCCAATAGAGGGGCTTAACAACAGATTTGAAATGGTAGAAAAAATAATCAGTGAATTTGAAGATAAGTCAACTGAGATTATCCAGTATAAGAAATAGAAAGAAGAAGAATGAAAAAAAGAATGAAGAGCATGTCAGAGAGCTGTGGAACACCGTCAAGCATACCAACATATATATACCAGATGTCCTGTAACAAAAGGAAAGATAGAAAAGGGAAGAAAAAATGTGAGAGATTTTCAAAGTACTGAAAGAAAAAAGAGACTATCAGCCAAAAACTCTATATTCAGCATAGCAATCCTCTAAAATTGAAGGAGAAATTAAGACATTCTCAGATAAAAAGAAGAGAAAAATCATCTCTAGCAGATCTGCCCTGTAAGAAATACTAAAGACAGCTCTTGAGACTGAGCTGAAAGGATACTAGACAGTAATTCAAATCCACACAAAGAAACAAAGAGCACCAGTAAAGGTAACTACATAAGTAAATATAAAAGACAGTATAAATATATTTTTGTTTGTAAACTCTTTTTCTCCATTTGATTAAAATACAATTGCATAAACCTATAAGTATAAATCTGTGTTGATAGGCAAACATTGTCATACAAGATGCCACTCGTATGACACTAACACCGCAAAGGAGGGGGAGAAAATAGAGTCATATGAGAGCAAAGTTTTGTATAGTACTAAACTTAAGTTGATATTAATCAAAACTAGATTGTTAAAAATTAAGATGATAATTGTAATCCCCGGGGAAACTATTAAAAAATAAACATATATAGTAAAAAAAAATGAAAAGGGAATTCAAATGAGACACTAGAAAATATTGATTTAACACAAAATAAAGCAGTAATAGAGAAATCAAGGAGCAAAAAAGATATAATACATATATATCAATAGAAAATAAGTAGTAAAGTAGAAGACATAATTCTACCTTATCAGTAATTACATTAAATGTAAATGGATTAAAGGCTCCAAATAAAAGAGATTGACTGAATGGATTTTTTAAATGTGATCCAATTATATGCTATGTACAAGAGATACACTTTAGAGTCAAAGACACAAGGAGATTGGAAATAAAAAGATGGGGAAAAATATACCATGCAAACAAAAGAGAGCTGGAGTGATAATACTAATATCAGACAAAATATCATTAAGACAAAAATTATTACTACCAACAAAAAAAAAGGATATTTTATAATTAATTATAAAAGGGTCAACCCATCAAGCAGACTTAGGGATAAGAAAGAAAAAGTAGACAACAATAATGTTTAGAGACTTCAATACTCCATTTTCAATAATAGATAGAACAAACTAGGCAGGTCGACAAGGAAATAGAAGACTTGAACAATACCATGAACCAACTAGACATAACAGACACCTATAGAACACTCCACCTAACAACAGCAAAATACACATTCTTCTTAGATACACATGAAACATTCTCAAGGATACACAATATGTTAGGCCATAAAACAAGCTTCAATAAATTTAAAAGACCAGAATTATAGAAAGTATGTTCTCCAACCACAATGGGGTAAAATTATAAATCAATAACAAAGAAATCTGGAAAAATCACAAATATGTGAAAATTAAATAGCACACTCTTAAATAAACAATGGGTCAAAAAAGAAAAAAAGGGACACTATAAAATACTTTTAGAAGAATAAAAACAAAAACAGCATCTGAAAATTTATTGAATAAACTAAAGCAGTGCTCAGAGGAAAATTTATAGCTATAAACACCTATATTTAAAAAGAACAATCTAAAACTGATAACTTGAGCTTCCACCTTAAAAATTTAGAAACATAAGAGTAAACTAAACCCAAAGCAAGCAGAAGAAAATGATAAAGATTAGAGCAGAAATAAATGATCTTTTCTTTGAAAAGATCAACTAAACCGATAAACTTTTAGCTAGACATGACCAAGGATAAAATAGAAGACTCAAATTCCTAAAATCAGAAATAAAAGAAAGGACAACACTACAAACCTTGCAGAAATAAAAAGACTATGAAGAAACACTATTAATGATTGTATGCCAAAAAATTAGAATATATAAATGAAGAAATTTCTAGACACAAATGACTAAAACTGATTTAAGAAGAAACAGAAAATCTAAATCAATAACTAATAGATAGATTGAATTAGTAATCAAACAACTTCCAACAAAGGAAAGCCCAGACCCAAACATCTTCACTTACAAATTCTATCCAATGTTTAAAGAAGAATACCAATCCTTCCCAAAATCTTCCAAAATATAGAAAAGGAAGAAAACTTCCCAACTCATTTTATGAGGCCAATATTACCCTGATTCCAAAACTAAAGACATCATGAGGATGGGAGAAAAAAGCTACAGACCAATATTCCTTTGGAATATACACACCAAAATACTAGTAAACAGAATCCAGCAATATATAAAAAGGATTGTATACCATAACCAGGTGGAATTCATCACAGGAATATCAAGGTTGGTCTGCCATACAAAAATCAATTGATGTAATACATTAACACAATAAAGAACTAAAAATACAATCATCTCAATAGATACAGAATAAGCATTTGACAAAATCCAACACCCTTTCATGATAATAAAAAAAATTAAATTTGGAATAGAAGGGAATCTCTTCAACCCAATAAAGGACATTTATTTAAAAATTCACAGCTTATATTATACTTAATAGTGAACATCTAAATGGTTTCTCTCTGCGATGAAAAACAAGACAAGGATGTCCTCTCTCATTACTTCTATTCACTGTTTTACTGAAGGTTCTTGCTAGGGCAATTAAGCAAGAAAAAGAAATAAAATATATCAAATTGGAAAAGAAGTAAATTAGCAGATGATATGATCTTATATACAGAAAATCCTATGGCATAAATACATACAGACACAAAGACTATTAGAGCTAATAAATAAGTTCAGCAAGATTCCAATACACAAGAATTTAAAAAATAAATTGTATTTCTGTACACTGGCCATAAACAATCTGAAAATAAAATAAAACAAATTTATAATAGCATCAAAAAAGATTAAAATACTTAAGAATAAATTTAACAGTACAAAACTTACACTCTGAAAGCTACAAAATATTGCTGAAGGTAATTTAAAAGGTCTAAATAAATGGAAAAAAATCCCATGTTTGTGGATCAGAAAACTTAATAATTAGGAAGATGGCAATACTCCCCAAATCTACCTACAGATTCAATTCAATCTCTGTCAGAATACCATCTAGCTTCTTTGTAGAAACTGACAAGCTAACCCTAAAATTCATATGGAATTTCAAGAGACCCAAGACAATCTTGAAAAAGAAAAAGGTTGAAGGACCCATTCTCCCCAACTTCAGAACTTACTACAAAGCTACAGTAATCACACTACTATGGTACTGGTGTAAAGATAAAAATATAGATAAATGGAATAGAATTTAGAACCCTTACATTTATGGTCAGTGATTTTCAACAACAGTGCCAAGACCATTCAACAGGGGAAAGAATAGTCTTTTAAACAAATGGTGCTGAGACAAGTGGATATCCCCATGCGAAAGAATAAAGTTGAACCTCTATTCACACCATATTGAAAAATTAACTCAATATGGACCACAGACCTAAATGTAAGGGCTAAAACTATTTTCATATCATATTCATTTGAATACACACATACACATACACACACACACACACACATAGTCTCACCACAGTCTAACTCCTTCACTGGCTTTTGATTTTTTGTATTTAAAATTTATATTTATAAACTTATAATGCACAGCATAGAAGTGTTTGTGAAGATGTGGAGAAACTGGAACCCTCAATACATTGCTGATGAGAATATAAAATGGCACATCTGAGGAAATCCCTCAAAAGTTAAGCACAGAGTTATCACATGGCCAAGTAATTCCATTCCTAGGCATAAATCCAAGAGAATTTAAAATATACATCCACACAAAAATTGTATATGTCAATAGAAGCAATATTCATATTAGCTAAAAAGAAAAAATCCAAATGTCCAGCAACAAATGAATGAACAAAAAGTAATATATCAATACAATGGAACATTAGTCAGCCATAAAAAGGAATGAAGTCCTGATACATGCTAGAACATGGAAGAACCTTAGAACATTATACTCAGTATAAGAAGCCATATACAAAGTTCACATATTGTATGAGTCCATGTATATGGTATTTCCAGAAAAGGCAAATCTGTTGATAGTAGATTCACGGCAGTCAGGGGAAGGAGTAATGGGGAATCACTGCCAACAGGTATGGGGTTTCTTTTTACAGTGATGAAAATGTTCTAAAATTAAATTGTGACAGTTGCACAACTCTGTGACTATACCAAAAACCAATGAATTGTATACTTTAAAGGACAAATTTTACCTTTTGTGAATTATATCTTAATAAATCTATTTTTCAAAAAAACAAGGTTATAAAATGAGAATTAAAAATAATCACATACATATATATAGATTCTACCAATTATATGTCAATAGTAAAAATTTCACTAGGATCCCATTCTTACTCAGTGGGTACAAGTCTCTGTAAGACTCTCTGTTAGCAGAAGACAAGACCGAGAGTGGGTAAAAGGCAATGACCTTCTGTCTTGCACAGGGGACTCTGTGTCTTCTGCTGATGGAATGCATCCCATTGAAGTGCCTTTGTCATAACCTCCTGACCACTTGTTGACCTGCTTTGTGGTAACAGTGGATTTTCCAGCAAGAAATATAGTCCATGGAGAAGGCCATCTTCCTTCATCTGTAACTGTAACACCATGGCCTTCTGCATTCCCTTCTACCACTAAAATAATATTCAGTCTTGGGTTTCCTTTTTAAAAAAAAAAAAAAAAAAGCCTCTCCCTTCAACATTCTGCAGAATATCACATCCACTACCGGCATTCCCCACTCCTACTCTAACCTCCCCCTCCTGGCAGCAATGATGAGTTCTGCCACTGAGTGTTCCATGTGGAATTGCTGAAGTTTAATTAAGAGGAATGCCAATAAAATGATAAGATACCAAAGGTGGAAGGCATAGCCCACAGAACAGGGGTATGTGGGACAGGGTGGTTGGCAGGCTTCATGACAGAAGTAGACAAGTAACTTTTGTGGAGTTCAGAGGGAAACATACAAGCCAAAAGGGTACCACAATAAAATGTAAGGGAACTATTCACTTTTACTTTCTCTACTTGGTTTTATATAAAGTGTCCTTCATTGCAGCCTGTTCAATCACATTGCCCAGATTGAACATAACACACTTTTCATATGCACTGTTTAATTTTAAATCCCAACCTTTGTCCTCCTAACTCCCACAAACTAAACTAAACAGACAGGCCAATGTTGACTCAAAAATTACATTTTTATATAGAAGGATTTAGAACTTACCACTCTCTTTTCCCTGAAATCAATCCCCACTGTCGTGATAAATTTGGAATTAAATTTACCATCTGTGTACTGGTAAAGTACACTGGTCTTCCCTACTCCAGAGTCTCCCAAAGCTAAAAACTTGATGAGATAATCATAATCCCCATCAGACATAATGAAGAACTCAGTGGTTCACCTGCAAAATACAAACAAATGTACATTTATTAAAATCCATTAGAAAACATTATAGAGTTATCCATTAACATAGTGACAACTTAATATTCAGTCCAAAAAGTCCTTCTACATAACACTTATATGTCTAGGGGTTCTGTGCAGAGAGGGTTCCATATTAGGTCCCCAAGGACCTAACAACTTGCTAGAGGAGAAGCTACTGAAACAGTGAATAACCATTTAGTTTTAACATACCCATTATAGTAATATTAAGACAAAAATTTCAAGTAAGAATGACAAGAAGACAGCAGTCATTAAGTCTTATCTGCAGACAATATAGAACAAAAACTAATAAAGGACTGTTATAAGGAATAACAGGAGATCTTAGAGTGCAAGTGGTTCCAATTTCCCCTCCATTTCCAAAGTCTCCTACAAATGGATCCTTGGCTTTTCTCTCTCGTAAAAAGAGAGAAAATGGACATCTAGGCAATTTCATTTATCCTATTTATTTTCATGTTACTACAGTTTCTTCAAAGACATTTAATTCTTTTTTATTTCAAAATATTAATCATAGGGACACAAGTGTTTTTCTTACATGGATAGCTTGTACAATGATTAAGTCAGGGCTTTTGGTATGCCCAACACCAGAATAGTGTTCATTGTACCCAACAGGTAAGTTTTTATCCCACACCCACCCACCTCCATCCTCGCACCCCCTTCTTGGTTTCTCACGTCCTTTATGTTGCTTTGTACCCATCTATTAGCTCCCACTTCTTAGGGAGACATGCAATATTTTGTTACATGCATAGAATGTGTAATGGTCCCCACTGGTCCCCTCTAAGGGCTGAGCAGTTATCATTTCTATGTGTTGGGAACATTTCAAGTCCTCTCTTCTAGCTGTTCCGAAATACATAATATGCTGTTGTTAACTATAGTCACCCTATTCTGCTTTTGAGCATTAGAACTTATTCCTTTTAACTGTATGCTTGCACACATTAACCAACTCCAGTTCCAGACACTCTTAATTCATAAGTAAAATTTGGCTTGTGACTTCCTCGGAAATTATTATTAATATATACTCATATTAAATCGGACTTCTCTGGAAAATCACTGCTCACTTGAAAACTGAGTTCCAGTATTGAGCTGTCACTGCTCAGAGACAATAGTTCCACAACTAAGGGCTTATTTACTTATACTTACCCTGGTATTCTAACAAGAATTGCTGAAAATTCAGCTCTTCAGTGTTGACTAAAACAAAAGACCACCTTAAAGAAGAAAAATTGGTTTTTACCAGCAATACTTAACCATGGTTATTTTTGGTCCTTTGCAATCAGCACTTTTCATGATTTGTTTTTATCCTATAAATAGATTTAAACCCAAAATATCAGTCCAACTAAAAATGGAGTCTCTCTCCAGGGAAGGCTACTTCTTATTTTTAAAATAATGTTTATTGGTACATAACATGTGTACATTTTATGGGGTATACGTGATATTTTGTTACATGCACAGAGTATGTAATGATCAAGGCAGTATATAGGGTATTCACGCCTCGAGTATTTATCATTTCTATGTGTTGGAAACATTTCAAGTCCTCTCTTCTAGCTATTTTGGAATTAATATATATAATATATTGACATATAATATATTGTTAACTCTAGTCACCTTATTCTGCTTTTGAGTATTAGAACTTGTTCCTTCTAACTGTATGTTTGTACCCATTAACCAACCTCTCTTCATTTCCCCCACCAATCAATGTCAATAAACTGTCCTGAAAATCAGAAAAATCAGTCGTCCATCACCATGGACAGCTCTACCTGCCCATTCAAACACACACATTCACCTATCCACACGCACACCAGTTGCCCTACATTAGATTCATGCCCTTGTCCCCTTTTCGTCCAACTCTGTATCCGGAAACATTGCTGTCACATTCAGCGCTTCCTATAGGATTATTTCTATAGATGGATAAAATTAATAAAAACCTAGGCAACAATATGTATGGATTTTCAAGGTTACCTCCCCACCCTCATCCTCAACTTTGTGACTCACCTTATGCTGAAAAATCCTAAATGCCGAGCCCCAAGAGCACTGCAGTGTACTTCCTCAGAGTGCCTGAGCACAGACCTGTGATCTCACATTTCAGATATGGCTAGCTAGTCGATAAGGGCAGAGCCTCCACAAACATTCATAATTCTATTTGCCCACTATAAAGAGTGACACTTTACAGATGATGGCTTTCCTGTGGCATTAGCTTCTGTATTTGTAGGTGTAGGTTGCCAGTATTAACGACACATAACAGAATTCCTCTCCAAAAGATGACCACTTGGGCATCAACATTCTAGCATGTCCTATCACAGCATCTCGCTTAGCTCCAAATTATCCAGAAATAAGAGCTAAGAATTGAAAAGCAGGTCCAGATAATGGTTTTTTTGTTGTTTTTTTGTGTTTTTTTTTGAGACAGAGTTTCACTCTGTTGCCCTGGCTAGAGTGAGTGCCATGGCATTGGCCTAGCTCACAGCAACCTCAAACTCCTGGGCTCAAGGGATCCTCCTGTCTCAGCCTCCCGAGTAGCTGGGACTACAGGCATGCGCCACCATGCCCGGCTGATTTTTCTATATATTTTTAGTTGTCCAGATAATTTCTTTCTATTTTTTTAGTAGAGACGGGGTCTCGCTCTTACTCAGGCTGGTCTCGAACTCCTGACCTCAAACAATCCGCCCACCTCGGCCTCCCAGAGTGCTAGGATTACAGGCGTGAGCCACCTCCGTGGCCCAGATAATGTTTAATCCCCTGGGGGGTGGAGTTCCTCTCAAACTGAATGGGGAAGCAGAGAGCAACTCCAATCCTGCAATAAGAATGAAGCAAGAAGGCACTGTGGCTACCTTATTTCCTCTTCACTTTTAATTTGAAAAAAGTTGGTCTTTTCTATAACTATATTTTTATATCATTTAAGGTATAGGAGAAAATGCTGTTACCAATGGCATCAATATTCTAGGATTCTCTAAACCTACATAAGTGGAATTCAAAGACTTAGATGAAACTATCCTTGCTGTACCAACAATTTAATGTGTTTAATTTTCATGGGTAAAGAATCACACATGTCGGCCGGGCACGGTCTGATTCTTGTGAGTTTTCTTTTCTATTCATGATAGAAATACTAACCAAGCCATCATAAAGGAAATGTTAACAAACCAAATACCACAAACTGAAGGTATAGATACCATCACCAATATTAACCATAGTTTGCATTTCTCAGACCACACCTTGAAGACAATTATCTGCTTTCTTGATCTGAAAATAATTGCTCAGACCTTTCACTCTCTGGGTTCAGTCTTCTAAAGGATAAAGCAGAACCCAGAGACATAAATTGATTTACATGATCTCGAACCTAGATCTCCTAGTTCCAAGTCTAATGTCTCCTCCACCTCCATTACTTATTTTTTTACAAATGAATATTAGGCTTAAAAGTGATCAGTGGCATGACTTTATTTATTTCTTTTTTTTCTAAGAGACAGGGTCTCACTCTGTCACCCAGGCTGGAGTGCAGTGGTGTGCTCATAGCTCACTGTAACCTTGAATTCCTGGGTTTAAGTGATCCTCCTGCCTCAGCCTCCTAAGTAGCTAGGATAGGTATGAGCCACCACGCCTGGCCCTATATCTTACAAGGCAGCCTAACGGGAAACATCAAGTCAAACAGAGCTGGGTTTGAATCCCAAGTCTCCCACATACCAACTACTTGGATATCTCCAAGCCTTAGATTTCCAGGTTTTCATTCTACGAAAAAAAAAGATATACACTACCTCACACCATTGTTCTGAGGATTCAATGGGATACTGTTTGTGGAGCACCCAGCACAAAGCTTGGCATATACTGGGTACTTAAATGTTAGCTCACTCTTTTTCCCCATAGCGGACATTCAGACTGACTTTAAAGACCTAGAACAATTTCCGAAATTGGCTCTGGACAGCTCAAAACATATCTTTCTAGCACAAAAGATTGCTAACTAGCTCAAAGTAGTTTGCTGAGTCAACAAAGATCACTTTCAAATTAATCCTGTCTTTTTGTTGGTGGTTCGAACCATTCGCACTTCTTTTTAAATAGATATGCTTATTTCAAAAGAGTTCTAATAAATTTAAAACAGGTTCAAATGCATATAAAACAGTCCAATTCATTTTAGCAAACTCATACTTGTTCAAAAGAATCTGACTGGTTCAAATTAGTTTAGAATGAGTTAAAAGAGGTTCTACCTACAAAATTATTTCTGACTGCTCTAAAACCATGTTGGCTAAGACCAGATGTATCTAACCAAAATTACTGGAGTCTCATTTTAATAGTTTTAATTGATTCGGACTGGTTCCTTTCTACCCTCCACCCCCACCTCAGACTGGTTTTAGCTAGTTCAAATAGGTTCTGACCTGGACAAGCAAGTTCTCATTGGCTCACATAAGTTTTGACTGGTTTCAAGTGTATTTTAATAAATCAAGCTGGTGCTGACTAATTATAATAAATCTACTTCCAACTTAGTCACACTTGCTCTAATTTTATCAAATTGCTCCTAACGAGTTGAAGTCATCTATAAAATGGTTTTTACTGGTTTAGACTGGCATAAACTGGTTCAAGACATTCTGAACTGTTTCAGACTAATTTCAGACATTCATTTAGTTCAGGACTAGACATGTAAAATGACAATCAGAAACACCACAAACAGTGTGGTGCTTTAAACTTGTGCCAAACCAATAAACTTAAATTTTGACTCATAAATTACCTCAATTATAGAATATTCTATACCACAAAATTTGTCTCCATCACAGTATCATCTGTTTCTGCCCTTTATGGTTTGTGTGTATTGGTGTCCAGGAAAGGTTGGGAGAAAGGAGTCCTGGCAAAGGAGAGTATGGGCAGCAACAGGGAAAGGTGTGATGAGGGACACGGGCTTCCTGGGTTGAGAATTCACCTCCCATTTTACCTCAAGGACTTGGCTGCAAGACCTTAATCCATGATCCAACAACAAAACAGAGATCTCAG